AGTTTATGTATATTTTCATATCCATATATAAAAGTCTACAAAGAGGAAAGATTTTAACCTAAGAGTAAAGGTCAAATTAGTCAAAACTATCAAGATAGTAGCCTCAAGTCATTCAACAATGATTTAACTAAAAGACTATGTCAAAGGTACTTTGTTAGATAACAGGAAATAAACAATTTATTTCTTGACTATCCTCATTCCTCTCTCTCTTCTCTTCCTGTGCAAACTGAGTAAATTGCAACTTTGTGACTCTGTTGTAAAGACAGGAGAGTAACACAGGATGTAGCACACTGTAAGTGCATAATCAATGAGGGCTGATTTCTACCCCTTTAAATAGGGTCTCTGACTTCAGAGATTGAGGAGTTTGTTAAAGGGACACCTCCATGGTTAACATTATTTACAAATTACCAGGTGTCACATGCCATGCTCAGCACTTAACATGTACTAACACATCTTATTCTCATAGCATTCTTCAGAGATTAACTAGATAACTCGCTTTCTATAACTTAGAGATGAAGACTGAGGCATAGGAAAGTTGAGGAATTGGCCCAAGTTTTGTTTTCTGTTTTTTTTTTTGTTTGTTTTTTGGGTCACACCCGGTGGTGCACAGGGGTTACTCCTGGCTCATGCACTCAGGAATCACTCCTGGCGGTGCTCAGGGGACCATATGGGATGCTGGGAATCGAACGCAGGTCGACCGTTTGCAAGGCAAACGCCCTTCCCGCTGTGCTATCACTCCAGCCCCGGAATTGGCCCAAGTTTTAAAAAAAAATGTAGAGCCACATTTAAATGCAGAAATCCTTGTTTCAGGCATTGTGCTTTTAATCAGAAGGGTATGTCTCACACCAGAAGCTGCCAAGAAATGGCTAGGAATTTAAACTGAAGTACATGCAAGAAACACAGTCAAACAAGGAAAAGGAACAATGTTTGGCAGTACCCTAGCTGTATTTTTAAGGGAATCTGCCTAACAAACAGGGAAGGACTAAAAGTCCCTTATTAAAGTACTAAGAAGATGCATCAGATACAGAAATCATTCTCGACAGCAACTACGACACTCAGGGATGTTGCCAATTCTGGATACCTCACAAAATGTATAAACGATTAGACCCGGGAGCAACGTGCCATTGATGAAGCATAATTCACCAGAAACACTGTGACTACCAGGAGCATGTAGCATAAGCAAAATAAATACAAGCAAAGTCACTCAACAAGTTTAACCTGATGCTGATAGGATTTACAATGATATTGCAGATGAAACTTGTCCCGGATCAAGTGAGGAAATCACCAGACGAGTCTTGAACAAGTTCTCCCTGTCCCTAGTCCTTTGCTGCCACCACCTTCAACGGCTGCTCCTCAAAAGTTCATTTCTAGGCTAACGCCCCATCCTTCTATTCAGTAGATTTTGTTCAGATATTTTTAATTTTTACATTCTTCCCCCCACCCCCACCCAAAATCTGTTTCAAATGATTCAGATTCAGCTCTACCCAAAGGAATAAATATTTCCATACACTCTCTCGTGAGCCTGGTAGAAAATCACAACTACAACTTCTGTGGCCTGCCTTAAGATTTTAAAACTAAAAACATGCCTGTCAAGAGGCAGGCTGGGGGTTGGGAGGGAAAAGGGGGCCATTGGTGCTAGAAAATTGCATGCTTGAAACTCAACTGTAACTCTGTAGATCACTGTGCTTAAATTAAAAAATTAATTTAAAAACAAACACCTTTGCTTCAAAAAGTTAAAAAACATAATATATCCAGGTGAAATTAAAAAATATATAATTAAGATAGTGTAGGATGACATTGCTTTGTCCTTTCTCCCTTGCCACAAGGAGCTTAGGTTTATCAGGTTACACCCATAACAGTGCTCCCGAGTCATTCCCATTCCTTTCTTTATCTGTTACCACTTCTATGCTCTCCATCCCAACCAGTTAATCAGCTTCTCCCCTAATAAGAATCTGTTAATGTGTAAGGTCAGATCCTGCAAGGACACTGAAATTGTATTGTAAGTTAATATTGCCTTTCTCCTCTCCTAATGTTTTTGAATAGTTTAATGCAATGTCCTTTTTCTATAGATACAGGAAGGCAGTTAAAATTATGCTTTGTAACTTAGGATTTAATTAGCTTTGAATATTATTCACTCCCGGGCATCTGCTTTCTTGACTTAAGCCTCAGTTGCCCTTAGTTCCTAAAACCCCAAAAGCAGGGTCCCATCGAGGGACTGAATGGACCCAGGGCAAGCGGTGAGCCACCCTAGCATCGAAATGGGCCAGGCCAAAGTGCCACGATTCTTAACTATAAGAGCTTGATCATGGACAGATGCTGTCATGATACAAAAGTACCAACGAGACTAGGACCCTGCTAGGGATAGGAACGACTATCTGGCCTGAGCACTGTAATCTGAGATTGAGATGGTCCTAGGAGAGCAATTCTATAAATTTAAGGTATTTCTTACTGTATCCATACAAAATGATTTATATTATGTATGCTTATATGTTTATTGAACAAGGAGAGGAGAAACACACCAGGGGATTCCGTTGTAGGGTGGGTCAGCCTGCTGAGAGAGAATCTGTCCTAGAAGCAGCTTTCCCTGAGGGAAAGAACTTTACCCCTATTGATTGTGACCACACCTATGTGTAATTGTTACCCCCAACCCCGCATGGTTTTGGGATTTAACTAGACTGTAAGAGTGGGCTGGGGGATAAAGATTCAGACTCCAGAGCAAGGGGAGAAGGGGATCAAAATCCAGACTCCAGAAGGAGGAGAAAGGGAATCCAGATTCCAGAGGCAGAGTAGAGAGACAGGAATGAACGGAGAGAGGATTGGAATAAACTGCAACTAAGACCAACCAGCCTGGCCCTCATTCCTTCCTCTTCCTACCCATCGCCATCGACCTCCCCGGGGTGGGGGAACCGGCGTGAGACTACCGAACGCGGGCAGTGGGAGAGATAGACTGCTGCTGTCTTTTTGAGTTTACACATCTACATCTGGCATCCCTGGGTGCCGTTTTTTTAAGTTTACACAAGACAGTACTGCTGAAAGTGTACTGCTAACCTGTTACTGCTTATTATTGCTATTACTTATTAAAATAATAACAATGCTGTCATTAAATATCATTAAAAATAAAAATCTCAATAGAAAATATTTTTGTGAATAGTCAACAAAAATTATAATATTTTAAAAATCTATCCACTTTTTTTTTTAATAACATTAATAGTTTTAAGATACAATTCTGTCCTAGGAGCTTGCTAGTGCTCCTGGAAAAATTTCTAAGTGGCACGTGCTACTCCATCATGAGAGCAGAAGCACAAGGGAACACAAGGATTCGGGCTAAACATCCTGACTTGGTGCTGTCTTTCCTAATCGTGATGGGAAGCAAGCCCCCTTCACTTTCTGGAATGTGGCAGCCTCATCTGTGAGATGGAAACAATAAAGAATTGTCCTACCTACCTCACAGAATTATTGTAAAATCAAAATAGACACTAGTATATCAAAGAACTTATTCTGAGTCCTATAGAGTACCTCATTACTATGCAGTTACTAAATTTTTCTTTCATATAATTATCTAACACTGCTGCTTTATATAACTTTTATTTTGCCTGTCGTTGGTTTTGAAGCCACACCCGGCACTGCTCAGGGCTGATGCCTGGCTCTGGCAGAGCTTAATTGAACCCAGGTCAGTCATGTGCGAGGCAAGCTCCCGATGTGCTGGACTATCTCTCTGGCCCTACTTAATATCTTTTCTATACTATATACAGTATACACGTGTGTTTTTAAGATTTGGAAATATAAAAAAAACTATCAGAGTGTGATCAGGGGAAAAAAAGTATTTGGTATTACCTCCTGGAATCTAATCTAAGATACCCCAAACTTATTGAATTAAGAACTGCAATTCCATAAAAGTAAGATTCCTGTGATTCTTATGCCCTGTAAGATTTGAGAAGCACTGTATCACAGAATAGTACCACTTAACGCAATCATATACGTAGGAAATTATTTTCACAAATGCTAGTTAAAATACATGCATCTAAATTCAGAAATTTGAAAAGATCAAGAGAAAAAATGATTTTCCTTAAGATAAGAAGCCATATCTTTCTCATTCTACTAGTTGTGTCTCTTTCAGGATAGACAATGTTCCTTTAATAGAGCAAAAAAATTAATTATTAATATAAAAGAAATATGGAAGATAGAAATGACTGTACATTCACCCTTGCATAGAATATGACCACTTAATATCAATTATTAAGCATATATTCACCATTTAGATTAAATATTTATATATTAGGCATTAGGGTAAAAAAGCAGAATGAGTATTTTAAATTTTATTTGTATTTGAACATGGTCACATCCAAATTTATAAACAACAATAGTCAGGTCAGGAGCAAAGAGAGAGTGCAGTGGGGTAAGGAACTTACCTTGCACGCAGCTGATCCGAGTTAAATCTCCAGCATTCCATATGGTCCCCTGAGCACTGTCAAGACTGATGATACCCTGAGCACAGTTAAGAGTGACCCACCCCCTAAACTCCCATAAAGTATAGTCCGATTGGGCCAGTGACATGATTCAAAGGTTGGAGAGACACGTGGAAGGTGAGGTTCAATCCTTGGTACCACATGGTTCCCTGAGCAACAGGAAAGAAGAGAGGGAGAAAGGGAGGAAGGGAAGAAGGCAGGCAGGTAGGTCAGAGGTTGTGGGAGTATGAAATCCACTAAGCATCCATCAGGAAGCAATCACTTTGAAGAGGAAAGACTCCCAACAACATAAAGGGTGTCTAGTCAACTCTGAAATTAGATAGATTCAAACTCTTCCTCTGGCTTAGATTTTCAACAATATGCTAATGTTTCTAGCCTCAATTTCCTCATGTAAAAATTACGATAATAATAGCACTAATATTAGATATACATATTATAGCACTAAGTTTTAGAGATTCAAAAAGAAAAGTGACATGAACCACTTAGGGGAAACAAGCACTTGTTTGTGTATTTAAACATGAAAGTAAAATTTACCTTATCAAGTTTTAATTCCAATTCTGCGACATCTCCTTCTACTTCTTCCAAAGCAGCTCTAAAAAAATTAAGTATAAAATAAGTTATGTTATTTTATATGTCTAATATGTATACTTTACTCCTAAAAATAAACTCTAAATAAAATTAGGCATGAATACTTAAAAGTTACATTTCACATAAAGTAATAACTACCTTAGGATTGGTATGAATACTTCATAATTACATAATAAAACACAAAACACAATTATTGCTTAATAAGAGACCACATTAGGTTGAGTTAATCAAAGTATGTGTATTATTCAAATTTACAACATCAATTAGAACTATTTAACATCTCTTGAAACAATTTTTTTAAATTTCAAGTTGAGTCATAAAAAGATACAGATTTCTATTCAACCAAGCACAAATAATCAACAAGCAAAGTATCTTTGACAACTAAACAGACTGAATTTTCTTGAAAAATAAAAATAAACTCTTGCTTAATGCGCCATTTTGTATCGAATGTAGTTCTCAAAAATCAGCAAATACTCCATACTGACAAACAGATATAATAAAAGCATAATACTAAATAAAACTTGATACCTACCACTCTAAAAGACTACACTAAGTCCCTGGAAATTTGTTTAGAATAAAACAATATCAGCTAAAACTTTCTAAGAATAATTGTATTTTACACTTAGCAGTAATATGTAATAAAATACAAGTCATCTACCTTAAGTTGCTGACACCTTCTTGGTAAATCAGTAATTTCCCAGTAGCTTTTTCTTAAACTATCAAAATTTGTTTCAACAAGATTGCTCCAACTGGGGGGACTGGTCATCCCCAAAATTACTTTGAATTTTGGGTCAGATATGTACAATTAGACAATAAAGCCAAGAGAAGCCTAGATTAAGATCTATTCCTAGAACTACCCACTTAAAATCTATGGGACCCTAGGGGCTGGAGCAATAGCACAGCGGGTAGGGCATTTGCTTTGCACGCAGCCGACCCGGGTTCAATTCCCAGCATCCCATATGGTCCCCTGAGCACCGCCAGGGGTAATTCCTGAGCGCAGAGCCAGTGCATTGCCGGGTGTGACCCAAAAAGCAAAAAAAAAAAAAAAAAAAAAAAAAATCTATGGGACCCTAATAGACACTGCTTTTATTTCGCCTTGTGATTCTACTTTTCCATCTGATTATGTTTACTGAAAGTTCTTTATGGGAAAAAAAAAGGAAATTTTATGACTATTCCAAAAACTAAATACAGTTAACATTCAGGTCAAAAAAGCAGGAACTGGTGCTATGGATGTGGCTCGGAGATGTGGTCAAAACAAGCAAACAAAACCACTTGCTTTTGCTTTCCTGCCCTCTCCTAAAATTCTTTTCTGCCAGGCAGGAAAAGGAGTCCACAGAGAGATGTTGGGGCAAACTCTCCTTTTCCTGAAAAGAACAGAACCTCACACCATCCTGTCCTTCACAGTATCACTGTATCACTGTACCACTGTTATTCCATTGTTCATAGAGTTACTCGAGTGGACACCAGTAATGTCTCCATTCGTCCCAGCCCTGCTGCCGTACGTATTGGAGGCTCCTTCAGGGTCAGGGGAATGAGACCCGTTATTGTTACTGTTTTTGGCATATCGAATATGCCAGGGGGAGCTTGCCAGGCTCTGCGGTGCATCCTGTCCTTAGGCTCCCAAACTACAGATGCTAGGGATTAATCCCCAAGCTGTGGGGACCGAGTGCTTGAGGGCTGTCACAAAGAACTCTGGACCTCAGAGTCGGCTCCGGGCAGAGCCACCCCCACCCCACTCCCAGGGAACTCACCCCCCACATAAAAAGCCCAGAAGGAAAGATGCTGATGTGTGCATAAGGGAAAAAAGCACAAATCAGCACTCTACCTGTTAACTGTAACTCTGAAAAATGGAAAAAGAGGAGCACAGAGTACAAATGAGAGGGCACACCTTTCAGATTGCTTAGTTGCCAGAAATGTATTTTTAAATAGATTTTACAAATTAGAAGGGAGAGAAATCTGCACAGATGTCCCCATGCCCCTCCTGGGGGGGGGGGGGCGAACTGGGTGAGAACCTCTTCACCTACATGCAGGCAGGCAGCCTCCTGCGTAAATCCTGGTCTCACGGCTCACTCCCCTCACTTGTCTGAGTACCCCAGGGCACAGACTCTTAAAATATTTGGTGAGTCAAGAAAGAAACTCCACCACTATTTATTCTTCCAATTCTTCCAGGAACATCTCTTCATTTATACTTTAACTTTAATTTAGTTTGGTTCAATTTTCACTGTCAAATGAACTAAAAGGAGCAGAGAGAGATTTGACTGAACCCCTGGTTTCGACTAGTTTGCCAGAAATTCTATGTAATTTCTTTCCTCGATCTTTGCTCATTTTGTGCAATCTTTTTTTGCCTTCGTGAAATGCCACTTTGAAGAAGTTATTTAGTAAAACAAGAGAGAAAATGTGTTTAAGAAAAAAACTGTCAAGCCCTTTGTAATTATAAAATACAAACACCAAAGTTCTACTTGATCGTAAAATGTATGTGAAGACTTGTAACAGCAACTAAGCATCTGAGGCAGCCTGGTTAACTGCTGGAAGCTCCTTAGTATAGCTCAGTTCAAGTTTAACTCTCACTCACTTGCCTGAGTCTAGGACATTCTGTCTATTTTTCATCTGGAAAATGTGTAGAGAAATGCCTATTTAAAAGATTTGGCTGTTCTTAAACACCAAATGCTTCTTATTTTGAAATCATCTTCTAAAAAGTACTGTTTCCATTTAACCACTATTTAATGGACGGTCACTTGCACAAGAACGTTAGAGAAGTCTAGCTTCTATCTACTTCCGCATAGCTAATAAGTATAACCTTTAACTTATTGTTAATTGACCAATTTTGTTTTAAAATATTACAAAAGATATTCAGACAATCTCCCAACCTATGAATACTGGACTTGCGCGTAAACATTGAAGTCTATCAAGTAATATGAATATATAAAGTATAGTAATAGTCAGAAATAACTTTAAAGTCAAAAAGATATTTAAAAACGATACTGAATTCTGTATTGTTTGAAACCCAATCACAAGCAACTGTACAACTCTTATCTCCTGGTGATTGAAAAAAAAGTAATAATTAATTACCAAAAAATGAAGGGGAAAAAAGCCTGATGAGGGACTGTCTGTATTATGATGTTAAGAACACACGAGCGCTTTGCTTTGTACCCTCAGCCCTGCTTACTGAGCTGAGTTTTGCCGACTGTTTCTACTCATCAATCCAAAGAACCATTCTGGAACATGTTCAATACATGAATGAATGAGTGAAATAAGATAATTTATAAAGGGGTCGGGAGCCTGTACAGCACTCAGGTACATACCTAGCCTGCCCCAAACCCGGGATCAATGCTGACTCCTACAGTCCCCTGAGCAAGGCTGGGTCTAGCCCTGGAGAGCCCTGAGTCCCCCCAGATGTGAGAGCCCCCCGGACAGCTGGAGAGTTCCACGGGCCTGAGCAGCATGGCCTCTTTGGGCCCTTGCATGAAGCAGCTTTTCTGAGAATCTCTAGTGGGGCTGGGAGGTTCCTCCCTGCAAAAGAGAGTAATAACGAAAGCAACAGCCCTTCAAATACTGAGTGAATTCTCCCAAACACTGAGCAATATGTGTTATAAACGCATATCGCGTTAGAGGTCAATATTAAAAGACCACAGCCTCCTTAGCTTCAAATTGAGTTGTAAAGGTAAAAGTAAAGGTAAAGGTAAAGGCCCTCCTGTTGATCGTCGATTTGCTCGAGCGGGCCCAGTAACGTCTCCATTGGAGACTTTGTTGTTACTGTGTTTGGCATATCGAATACTCTCGGTAGCTTGCCGGGCTCTCCAAGAGGGGCGGAGGAATCGAACTCGGGTTGGCCATGTTGGCCGCTTGTAAGGCGAACGCCCTACCCGCTGTGCTATCGCTATTAAACATTTTCCTAATTAAAATGTTCACACATTATCAGTAAAGAAAAAATTAAGTAGCAAAACAGGCTAAACAAAATGATGCTAAAAGAAGTGGAGGTGACTAGGGAGACGGCCCAAAGGGCTGGAGCACATGATCTGCAAGGAGGAGGTCCCAGGTTTCATCCCAGCACCACCGGTCCCTCAAACAGGAAGGAGGAGGGGGGTGGGGCTGGAGCGATAGCACAGTGGGTAGGGTGTTTGCCTTGCACGCGGTCAACCCGGGTTCGATTCCCAGCATCCGTATGGTCCCCTGAGCACCGCCAGGGATAATTCCTGAGTGCAGAGCCAGGAGTAACCCCTGTGCATCGCCAGGTGTGACCCAAAAAGAAAAAAAAAAAAGGAAGGAGAAGGAGGAGAGGGAGGAGGGGGAGGATGAAGGGGAGGAATGGGATGGGGTTGGAAGGGGAAGGGAGTGGAGGGGAGGACCTGAGGACCCAGTAGCTAAAAGAGCCGCCCTGCAAATGAGAGCAGATCCTAGTGCCACCCACCCATGGGAGCGGGGTGCAGATGGTTCTGCTCTCTGGGGTGGCAGCACCGCAGGAGAGGAGCTGGTGTTCAGAGTCCGTGCTCCCAATGAGCCTCACAGCCAAGGTGACAACTAAGCAGGCGCAATCTCTGGACTTCAGAGAATGAACCAAGGAAAAAAAGGGAAAGGAGCGAGGTGGAGGGCTGGGGTGGGGGGAGGAAATGTGGGGGGGGTGCAGGGAAAGTCTTATGGTCAGAAGTGCATGAAATCACCCTGAAGTCAATCCAGCGCACCCACATGTGCCACCCTCCCACGCCGCTGAGCACTGTCAGCATGGCCCTGAGCACCACCAAGCCTGAACATCACAGCACTACCAGCCTGACCACAGAGCCATCCTGCCAAGTGTCACCAGTATTGGCCTGGGACACACACCCCCACCCCCACACCACCCCCCGCCCCCCCCCCCCACACACACACACACAAGCACTGGAGGTAGGGCTGAGAGACGGTACTAGGGTTGAGGATTTTGCCTTGCATGGGGCCAACCCTAGCTCAACCCCTGGCACCATATGGTGACCACCCCTAAGCACAACATCAAGAGTAGCTCCTGAGCACGCC